TGTGTGACCCTAGGTAAGTCACTTACTCAGTTTCCTCATCTGTAAAATAAACTGGAGAAGGAAATGGCAAATCACTCCAGTATCTTTGCCAAGAAAACCTCAAATGGGGCACAGAAAGTCAGGCATGACTGAAACGACTGAACAACAATAAAAAAAAAGAACATGGAAAGTTGGGGAGATGCAGATATGGACTTTAGACTTCAGTTGAAAGAAATATCACTGCTTCAAGGAGTCAGCCTGCAACTAGTGAGGAAGAAAAATCAGTTATTAATTCAACTTCTCGGTAATAGAAAGCTGTAAGAGGAGATGAGCTCTTTTGTTAGACCGAGCCATTTGGGCGTACTTAAAACCAAGTCTTAAATGCTTACAATTTTCTGGGAGTAGACAGTCAATTTCCTGAACACTGTAAGAAGATGCCAAGGTTATCTTTGGAATTTGATTAGCATTAATCAACAAACCTGAAAGCATGATGCTAGGTGCTAGGGATGCTGGGAAAACAGAAACAACAACAGTTCCTACCCACGAAGAGCTTACAGTCTATTGGGGACAAGAAAATAAATACAAACTAGATACAAGGCAATTTCTGGGGATAGGACACTGACAGCTGGCCTGAGGATGTATTTGCTGTGGCAGGGGCATGTGAGTTGAGCTAGAAGTAAGCTGGCAGAGGCGAGGAGGGAGTAGATTCCAGACATGAAATAGAGAAGCATGGGGGATGAGATGGAACGCCGTGTAAGGGGGCAGCAAATAGGCTGGTTTGGCTGGACTACTGAGTGCACTAGGAACAGTTGTAATAACCCCTAGAAAGGCAGTCTGGAGCCAGATCATGATTACATGCCAAGGTCATTCCCAGAGCAATGCTAGGCTTGGGTGTAGAATCTCCAGTTAAAACGATTCCAGATGGGATCCCCACAATGGTAAAGAGCTTTGCGAACTCTAAAGTGCAATATAAATAGCCATTACAGTACGATTAACAGACATCTGACTTACAACTCTGCAAAGTTTTTGGTCATTTGTCAAACAGTCATATTGGGCACACCTGTTGGCTAGGAAGAGTCCTTCACGGGTTTGTAAATTCAAAGCCGGAAGGGGCCTTAGAGACCACTTAGTATGACCCCTTCATTTTACAGATGAGGAAAATGAGGCCTAGAAGGTTAAATGACCTGCCCAAGGTCACAGTGCTAAGAAATGGCAGGATGAGGATTTGAACCCAAGCCTGCTGGCTACCAATCTCAAATTTTTCTTATCACACCAAGCTGCCTCAAGTTTCTTCTACCAAAACACACCAAAGTCTTCAGTACCTAGGGCCATTTATTCTCTTTGGAATTGAAAGATCTGGGATGAGTCCAAAGTCTGACACTCCTTAGCTCCGTAACCTTGAGCTAGTGAGGTATGAAACTGAGAAAACATTACCCCTGCTTATCTCACGGGGTTGCTGGGAGGATGGCGCGCTTGCTAAAATGGCATTTCACTAGTAAACGCTGTTCCTTGGACCCTCCACTAAAATTCCACTGTCCTGGTGAGGTTCTGACCAGCTACAAAGACTTGGAATATGGGCCCATTGACAAGACTCTACGTGAGGCCCAGTCTGGCTCATTTTGAAGGTGAATTTTTCAGCCACAGCCACTCTACAAGTGGTAGGGATGGAGTGAAGGGCCTTACACTGATGAGATCACCCAAACTTGACAATAAAGACAAACAGAACCATAAACCTAAAACACGAGGAACCGATCATTTGATCAGCCTTGATATTGCCTCATGATCACACAAATATCATAGAATCTCAGAAATCTCCTCCAACCGCCATTTTCCATGAATTGAAGCCAGTTAGGGAAGGGTAAAACGAGGTCTAAAACTCTTCTGACGGCCACTCCAGTGCTATTCAAAGTGGGAAAGCAAACACATGAGAACACTCTGAAGATAGGCGTGTAAGGAGTGGTAAAGGCTGGCAGAATTCAGGGCGAGTCTGGGGTGATCACCGAAAGATAGAGATGGGCAGCAAAGTTGGAATTATATTGAGAAGGTGGAGAGCATTCATTCATTCATTCATTCATTCAACGATTTATTTCAGGCCTAACTAGGAAGGCTGAGCTAATCTGTCATCTACCCTCATTCTAGGTCTTAGGGAAGAGACCAAGGATCCTGATGGCAGATTTTGTGAATCAAGCATGAATGGGGATAAGCAATCCACCATCAGAGGGGAGATGGCTATGGCCATAGTCTTTACCCGTTTAGAGCTAACAACGGTCTAATTTATATAACGCTGTATTGTTTCCAAAGCATTTTCCTCACAACTTTGTGTGGTTACTCAACAAATGATGGGGAGTCACAGGAGCAAGTAGAATTACCTCGTATGCCTACTTTGGAACTCAATTTGCAATGTATTTGCACTAACTTTGAAAGATAAAAGAGCTTTTAAAAATTTAATACCACTCCTGGGAGAGGCAGAAACAAAAAGTGATGAATGGACTTCTTTTGGCAGGAGTAGTTATATGTGGACTCTTCACATATGGCCACACACACACCGTCTCCACTAGATTTGGATTTTTTTTGTTAATTTTTAGGCAATTGGGGCTAAGTGACTTGCCCAGGATCACACAGCTAGTAAGTGTCAAATGTTTGGTCTGAGGCCAGATTTGAACTCAGGTCCTCCTGACTTTAGGTCTGGTGCTCTAGCCACTGCACCACCTAGCTGCCCCCAAGATTTGGATTCCTTAAGGGGAAGTGGGCCATGTGCGTCCCCAAAGGTCACACAACACCTCAACGTTTGTTGCCCCAAACCTTGCAAAATCATTCAAGTTTGTATGCGAAAGGGCTTGGGAGTGGGGGAAGAAGAGAGGGTCTCTGGTTAGCGTGACCTATTATCTTCTATATACAACTTTTAAAACATTGTATCGTGAGTTCCTTTATTTATTTTTTGGCCTTCCTTCATATTCCCACACAGCACAGTGCCTGACACACAGCAGGCATGTCACAAATGCTTACCTTGGCAGATAATACTATCATTTCTTCAGAACACGAGGCCCTGGAGGACAGGGGCTGAGGTTTTTGTCTTTGGCTTGCCAACACAGTGGCTAGAACTTAGCAACGTTTGTAACATTTTATTCCACTGGGATTCAGGGCATCAGGAAGCATGGCACATGGAGGCTGCCATCCAGCACGTTGCCAGGACACAAGGGACATGCTATAAGATGGGAGCTTTATCTCCCAAGGTCTGTGCCAAGGTGAGGAAGCAGCTGCTATCTACTGCCTCCCCCAGCTATTGGTGATCTCGCTGTTAGCGTTGGTACCCTGATCTATTGGCCAAGGTTAGTCACCACAACAGAGCCCAGACACTGACTTGCAGTGGTGGGGACTCAAGACTCACAGCCCTCAGTGATTTCTCAATCTAATTGGAAAGATGAGTCAGTCCACTTTATGCACAACATCTTCCAGCTCCTCTAAGAGTGGTAATGAATCAGTTGGAAATCCCCAATCCCAACAGTTTGATATCTTTAGACAAAGCGCACTGAATAAGCAGACACAAGCTACCATCAGAGTTTAAAGGATGTTTATCATTAACATTTTAATCATTTACAAAGCAGAGTTAAATTTTGATCCTTTGTTTTAGAAAACAATATAAGTTTACCCCTTGAGTATTTTTTTCCTGCTAAGGAAAAATACAGTCTCTTCCCATAAATACTGTGCTTCAATTACCTCCATAACTTAGAACAGATGTTTCAGCAATCAGCTCACCTTTCCTCCATTCATTTGAGGGGACATGAGCAATAAAGATAAAAAGAGATTGAACAACCCGCCACCTCCCTTCTCCCCCCCAAAAAAGAAAGGCATTTCTGAAAGCAGAATAATTTTCCACACTTGGTAAAAATTCATCTATCAACCAACGTACACTATTGGGTATACACAGGCAGGTCTCGAATACTATTAGATATTTTAACAAAGAAGTTTTGATTTTTTAACAACATGAATTTTTCCAAATGAAACGTTGGTTTATGTTTCTGGTAGGATTTTCTAACAGAAGGTTTGATAGCAGACTGTGTGTTTTTGTGCCCTAATATACAGGATGCCCCAAAAGTCTGAGTTTAGTTTTAAACTATTAAATTAAACTATTTAAGCTTAAAACAACACTAAGACCTTTGGAACACCCCGTATATTAATCTAAACCAGAACGTTGTTACCTTCAGGATTTTAGATCCAGAAGCAGAGGAGACCTTTGCGGTTATCTAACCATCCTCATTTTACAAAGGAGGAAAATGAGTCTCAGAGTTTCAGCTACTCGCCATGTATCATGCAAGTCATAAAGCGGTAATAATAGCTAGCACCGATTTAGTGCTTTAAAGCGTACAGAGTGTTTCCCAAATATGATCTTGTTTGGTCCTCACAACAACCCTGTGAGGTAGGTCGGTGCTATCATTATCCCCATTTTCCAGATGAGGAAACTACAGAGGTTAAGTGACTTCTCCCAGGGTCATACAGCTATTCAATGTCTGAGGTCAAATTTGAACTCGGGGCTCCCTGACTCAAGGTCCTGTGCTCTGACCACTGTACCACCTAGCTGCTGGGATTTGTTTTACAGTGCCACAATACTCACTTAACTTTGTTTTCTTGGGTTGTGGTATAAACCTACGGGCCCACCAAGCTCTAGAGAGCGGTGATACATTCATCCGGGCATGGACATAGGCAAACAGAAGGCTGAAATGTCAAATACTCAAATAATGATGCTGGGTGGGGGGTGGGGGTGCAGCAACTTGCCCTTCTTGGCTTAGCCCGGGGTGGGAAGGGGAAGTTTCTCTGGAAGGACCAAAGTACTAGCTTTGGAAATGAGTCAGTCACTCGGAGTGAGGAGTGGCAAAGACTACGGAGGCCATTTGTGCCTCCTAAAGTTCCTTCTGAAGGGAAAACAGGCTAGCAAACTTTTGGTTCTGATTTACCGGGCTAACCGAGCTCAAGTCAGGGATAATTAAAACAAAAATTAAATACAACAGACATGAAACAAAACCTCAAGTGAAAAGCTGAACAAAATTTATTAGTAACACTTATTTTGGGACCAAGAATTCTCAGAGTCCAGAGATACGTTGCAATAGCTCGACACGAGATGGATTTTTAACTCTAGAAACCTTCGTTTTCCTGAAGGCATATTTTAACATCTATCAGTCATTTCAGGCCCGGCCCAGCCCAGTCAAGCTTAGAGTGACTGAGCACTCCAGTGCTGACCATCAAGGGATGGTTTTGTTTTCTCTAAAACAACAAATTCTTTACCAAGGCATGGAGAGGCTGTAACCTATACCAGTAAATAGAGCATTCACACAGATGAAACCATAGATTTATGAAGTATGAACATAACTGTATTATAATGAATTCCTATGTACTGAAACCCGTATATTATCTTCTGGATTTTGGTTATTCGCTCTGATCCAAAATAATGTTTTTTCCTCTCCAAAAGTGAGATTAAACTAAATTTTGGGGTACAATTTAAAAAAAAAACAACTAAACACTAGATATACATAAGATTATACTTTTTGAATCTGGTTGATATCAAGGAAGTGGGGCAATGTGGAGTAAAATTGCTTTAACCTCTGCTTAATGTGTAACTGAAAGCTCTTTTTAAAACAGCACATCAAAGTATTAAAAACCATTTTATTAGTACAATATTTACTTTAGTAGACCATACTATGCGTAACCCAGGAAATCTACTCTCTGCGGAGAAGAGGAATCATTATGAGCAATGAGAAATTAAACTAAAGAAAAGCATGGGGTGTCCCGGAGCCGCTCTACAGTGAGTTTATTGGCAGAAACAGCATAAAGGATCTCGACCGAATGGCCACAGAAGCATGCTAGTGAAGACCGACGCCTGGTCCGCAGCTGGCACCTTCCTGAGACAGCGGCACCGCGGGCTGCGGCCAAGCTGTCCCTCAGACACCCAGTTTGTTGGCCTGGGTGAGAACCACTTTGAGCACCGGCATGAAGGCCGAGGTCTCGCTGAAGTTACTGTTGCTCACGACGTGCGTGTGGATGCTCAGTCCCTCCGTGTAGTTCCGAGTTTCAATGCTCCTTGCCATGTTGTGCAGACCGTTGAGGATCGTTGGGGAAAGCTGAAAGAGCACACAGAGCCAGGTCAGAAAAGAAAGCCTCCCACAGCCTACATCCAGAAACCAAAATGAGGCTGGACATCATCTAAAATACAGCAACAAACTGTATTCCTCAAAATAGTCTGTAAGCCTGGGATTTCTTAAGTCCTTAAAATGGACCCAAGCAAATTATCACCCGACTCACTCTACTGAAGTCATCAAGTAGTTTCAATTTTCTATTAATAAAGGAAGCAATGTCAAGTTTTGCTAGTAAGTGCAAAATGCTAAGTTTTTCCCAACAGAAACTAATTCTTCCATGACTTTGAATCCATACTTGCCTTTAAAAAAATGTTTATGGATGAAAGTAAAGATGTTTCTCCTCCCAGACACCTCAAGTGGCTTCCCACCTAATTCGTGTATCAAAACCTCATCTCCTTAAGACAGACACAGGTCCTAGAGCTCACGTGCCCACGTGGCCCACTACCCACAAATTCTCATTTTGGTATATAAAAATCAAAACAGAAAAAAAAATATCCAAACCAGCAAAACTGCCCCAAGTCCTTCAAAATAAATACCAAGAAGTACAAATTCTCACCCTCTCTCTCATTAATAAAACAGAGTACTGGGGACGGCGTAAGCAAGAACAAGGATACGGAAGCTGAATCCACTGCTGCACATTCTGATCTGCTCACATTGCCATTCCGCTACACTAAGCACTCTTTTTTGAACCTCAACTGGCCTGGAAATGGAGTGTCAATTCTCATAAAAGCAACAAGAAAGATGATTAATTTGGTCTCTGGAAAACATCACTTTCTCTCCACTGTTTCCTCTTTCAAGCCACAATTAAAACAGAGAGAGTTCTGGAAAGCATCCTAGACAAGTGTAATAGATGGTTTACATTCACTATTCAAAAAAAAGGAAAGAGAATTTCTCTTCTCTCTTGCACACACACCCACCCCCCAAACTAACTTCTATGCTATAAAAAAATCCATCTTTCAATTAGTGATATGGCAATTATATCTCTGAGTCCATTAGAGGAAGGGTCTAATGATACTAAATGTATTACTTATCAACTTGTAAGATGTGGAGGGGACTTTATAGGATCTGAAGTATCCAATCACTATCTGAAGTAGAATCCTCTTTGTAACATCTCTGAAAACAGGCTCTGGTACCTCCATTCCAAGTGGGGCCTTACCCTCCCTGGGACCTCTGAAGATGCTTCTATGTTTCTAAGATTATTCAACTTCCACTTGGAAGTTCTAATACCAAGGAACAAATCGCCTCCTGGGGAGACCTGTTATATTCTGGGCAGTTTTAAAAGGTGGGTTCCCCTTAACTCGGTATGAAATCTGTCTCCTTCTAATTTCTGCTAACAGATGCCAATTTTTCTCTTTGGACCAAACAGAACAAATCTGGCCCTTCTCCTACATGCTTCCTACCGGGTCTTGCTCTCCTCAGTTTCTTCTGGTTAGGATGGCCTGTTCTAATTAAACCCATATGGGCTCCCTTTCCTTAGCGAGTAGAAAGTCAGGGGAGCGGCTATGCCAGTAAGAGAAGTTTACCATCATTCTTCTTGGCACACCCCAAACTTACTGTCTGCTCTCTCAGTTTGTCATACAGAAATTCCAGACGTTTGTTGGCATCATCTAACTTTCTCTTCGTTTGCTGTGGAAGAGGAGAACAGAGTTAAATAATGACAGTGAGAGATTTCATCCAAAGAATTTAGTGCACTTCCCAAATATTTTTTATTTTATAGATAAAATCTTAGAACTCTAGAGCTGGTTATAGCCATTCCCAATAGATAAATGGTCAAAGAACATGAAAAGGCAGTCCTTGAAAGAAGAAAACCAAGCTAACCAAAGTCATACGAGAAAAGTTCCAATTCACAAAATTTTTTTTGAGCTAACTGTGGTTAAGTGACTTTCCCAGGGTCACGCAGCTAGTAAGTGTCTGAGGTCAGATTTGTACTCAGGTCCTCCTGACTCCAAGGACAATGCTCTATCCACTGCACCACCTAGCTGCCCCCAATTCAGGAATACTCAGACTCAGAGGTACAAAAATATTTAAACGACGCCTTTTGTTGATAGCAAGAACTGAAAACAAAGGCCATCAGCTGGGCGATGGCTGAACAAAGCACGGCATGAGTAATGCAACACATGAACAAATGCAGACCAGAAAAGGTTGTGTTGTGTCCTGTGTATGTAAGGGGGGAGGGGGGAGGGGAAGAGGAGAATCAGTGCACGGTGACCCTGGGGTCATTTGTATAAAACCCCAAACAGAAGGAAACAATGGACTGACCCACATAACTTGACCAACCGTCTGCCAGTGACATCAACCAGAAAAGAAAGCAAGTCCCACAAGGGGGATGAGTGAGAAGCAGAGGAGAAGAGGGGCTCCGGGGGCTGGTCCAGGGACAGGTCCAGGAACAAAAGGAAGAGGCTGCCCAGCAGGGCCTTCTGGAAGGCCCACAAGTGCATACAAAGACCACAGACTCGCTCTCCAGGGAATGGGGCAGCTCAGGAGTCCCAGCCACATTCAGAGACCGTAAGACAAGAGTGACGGCTGCGTCCTAAAGCCCAAAGAGGGGCACACGCTGCACTGAGGAGACATCGGATGAGAGCCATGCCAAGAAACCCTGGCGCAGAGCTGAGAGGAGGGAACTCCCAGACCTCCCGCCCCTCCGCTGTCCCATGGCAACAGAGAGGGAACACAGGGACATGGATGTCGCTAGAGAGCCACACTGCCAGCCACCAGCCCTCTGTCGTCATCTACGATGATTATACCAGGGTCTGATCAGGATGGAATCGGGGTAGAGGCTCTGCCGGGGCAACCTGGTGCGAGGGGTTTTCAAGAGGTTTAATGCGGAGGATGTGCAATCAAGGATTCGAATGAAATGCCTTCCAATTTCCCCAGAAGAATGTGTGTCATAAAACGTACACCTGGTATTTAATCTGTAAGATTCTCTAGGTCAGAAGGCTCAAATGCAGCCACAGGCCTGCAGCATCCCAAGTACAGCCTGAACCAGATGAAGAGGTACGTGGGAAACGTTTAACAAAGCAGACACAAACACAACAGTGACAAGACGACATTTTGTCAGCACAGAGCCTGCAGGGATCCTCATGGAGGGCTCACCGGCCCCCATCTCTGTTCTGGTTGGAGTGTCCTCCCCAAGCAAAATGAGCTTCTTTTAGCTCTGAAGATGGTGAAGGTCCACTGGCAAGAGCTCTCACAGGAACACAGGCATTCTGAATGCTTCTAACATATAAAACATAAGAAGAACACCTACCGGGTCTGTGGCAGAGGCGAGGCATCGCTGAATGAGCTCCTCAAACGTGGTCTTCAGGATGAGATGCTCATCTGGAATGGGCTTCTTGGTAATCTTCTCTGTTGGCAAGGACTGCACATGCTGAAGGACACACAGTTATTTTAAAAGGAACGCAGACCTCCTCTCTATGTGGGCAGACGTGCAAGGACAGGTGGGTGCGCATGCATGCACGCACATGCACACACACACAAACACACACACAGAGGCCTCAGGACTCTTGTCACTGAGACCCAAACAACACAACCTGATCACTCTTCATGATCTATCCATTGTCCGCCATGGTAGACGTAGTATTTAAAATACTACTAGTTGGTAGGCAGAGGTAACAAACCCAGAAATGGTTCGATTAAAAAAAAAATGCTAAGAATCAGTGCTTTGGTTGAGGACAATTTAAGTGACACGGCATTGTGATTTGTACTGCCAATTCAGGAACAGGCCGCGGCTTTAGATAGCTTCCACATGAGTGTACCATGTTCCTGGTACCCAAGACTGCTCTGGGCTTCCAGTGTGGTTCTGAGGGCTTCTTCCTATCGGACCTAACCCTGATAATACAGGCCTATTCAAGAACTTGGAAAAGTTTAAAGAATTAACCTAAGTCTCTGGCCCACGCCCAAAATCGTTGTTTCCTGGGCTATGCCTAAAGCAAACATGGCCCTCAGGGTGAGAAGGGGTGGGATGTCACCTCGAAGGAGGGCAGGAAGCTTCCCAAAGAACGAGAGGCCAAAGAGCTCATGTTAGGCATCCATCTAGCAGTTTCCTATTTTGGTTAATTATTCTTGTCAAATAGGGAAAGGACTGGAAATGCTGTTAGCACCAAACTTGGAGGGGAAAACCCTTGGTTATAGTTTCTCCCACATCTCAAGTCAATCTGAATCACCAAGGGTGGACTTTATGCCTGAAACTTCTTGCTTTTCTCTGGCCTGACAATTACGTCAGGTCACAACTGACCTGAACCCTGCGGGGTGTACTGGGCAGACATAGGACTGACCGAATGCACCCTGGGTTGTGTGGTACATGTTACAAGGCAGCAGGTGTTTAGCTTAGCGTTTGCAGGATGTAATTTTCCAAATCTGAAGATCTTTGAAAAACAGCAAAACATTGGCTCGTCCCCACTAAAAGAATCTTTTAATTCCTCACCCATTGCTGTAAGAAGGATCTAAAACTCTGCCACCTCATAAAAGGTGGGCCAAGGGTGAGAATTACTGTCCCGAGGCGTCCATAGGGTCCCCAACAAGACGTGATCCCGCGATCACACGCTACGTGCACAAAGAACGACGCTGAACGAAAGTGTGGTTCCCTTACTTCTGTGGAGCCTCTAACTGGTCCACACAGACACAAACGTTCACCCCAAATGATCGTATTTTGTACTGCAACAAATACAACTTTCTGTTTTCTGTATTTCATAATCCCCCTTTCTTTTTGGCAATAGTTTCTGTACAGGAACCTGGGACAGAAGAATGACCTGAAATTGCAGCCAACTTTGAATAAACAGAAAATAGCACGTGCAGACTTGGAGAAGACCAAACATCACTGTTGGACTCTGCAGCCACAAAGATGCTTTTTTACCTATGTGATTAACGTTCAAAGGTCAATGCCATGGTTTTGGCGGTACACCTTTGAAAACATCATAGGCACTTAATCCGAGTATGCTACATTTAACTCAAAACAAAGGGAGCCATCAAACTGGGTGGCAGACTCCTCTGATTACCTGGATGGTATTTCCAATTGGAGCTCCCGGGGCACCCTCCGTACTGGGCTTTGAGAAAGCTGGTGGGATGGCAGGCTGCAGGGGCTGCTGCATGCCGTGGAAGGGGTTCTGCAGGATGGGCTGGCTCCCCGAGAGATGCGGTTGTTGGAATGGAGCCTGTCCTGAGAGCGGTGCCGGAACAGAGGGCTGCTGGGGCTGCTGCTGCTGCTGCATCTGCTGCATCTGCAACTGAGGGTCACCCAGAGGGTTCATGATTGGCGAAGTGATGGGTACAGGCGGTGTGAAGTTTTCGGGGATCTTTTAAAAATCAAAACACAAACACAATAGTAGGATTAAAAAGAATGTCACCATGCCCTCAAAATGAGAGGGTTGGGCCAGGTACACACACACCTCTAACCCAGACCAACAGCTGCACGTTTAGAATCCGCCTTCCAAGAATTACCTGGTGAGGCTGAAGCATTATCACCAGGTGGATGGTACTCAGTTGAGGGTCAGTATGTGCACATTCCTCCAGCCCCGTTCCACTTTATTCTTCCACTCCAAGCCCAGAGGGCAAGTCCCTCCCCGAACACACGCTGTGTTCCCAATGCCGAGCCCCTCCTCCTCTCCGTTTCTTAGGCAGGCCGAACTCAAATCCCACCCCCTCCAGGGGAGCTTCCTGGATTTCCATGATTGGTAATGACCTCCCCCTACAATGCACAGTGTTGTCCCTCTCAAACTAACTGCCGGTGCCTCCTGTTACACTGTCCCTACCAGACTGTCAACTCTGCCAGGAGGAACCAAGTCCTGGATCCACTCTCCCTCTAGCGTCGTGTTAACACCCAGTACTCTGGGCACCTGCACACATGAAGCACCCACGTGTTGAATGTTTATTAGGGAACCACTGAATTCAGACTCACTAACCCCACATATCCCAGGTCTCGGGAGGCCAACAGGATGAGGAGAGGCCACGTCACCTTTGATCCTGCTTTATTATTACTACAGGAAGAGCTCCAAGCAGTGGGTGGGAGTAGCAAAGGGGCAGCCTCCGGGTTGGTGGAGGCCCATCTGCCTCAAAATTGGAGCTCAAGGAGAAAGAGGGCTCCACCTCACTGGGGTTCTTCCAGCAGAGTCCAGCTGACCAACCCTTTGCTGCCCATGTGGTAGAGGGGATTCCCGGGGGTTACGGGCTGGTCTAGACGGCATCTGAAGTCCCTTTCAGTTCCAAGACTCTCCGGTCTGTTTCTCATCTGATTCTGCGTCATCACTTAGCTAAAAGGTGGTCCTAATCTCACGATCTTACTGCTTAGACACTCCGTGGTTTCATACATCATCGTTCAACTTCTGCTCAGCACTAAATACCCCTAAAAACTCCATCTCTGACATTTCAGACCCTTGTTTTTAGACATCTTAAAACATGTTTTTGGTCTAAGAAATGATCCTTAATTCATGGCGCTAACATCAGTACAAGGTTTGCTTATTCCACCTGACAATTTTCATTTCATCCCTGGTTTTAGAGATGGCACTGACATGAACTTTCAATAGACTAGATGGCCAATTTTGTTTATATGGGATAATTATACCAGGGGTGGAGGGGGCATAGGGGAGGGCCTGGGGAGGATGTCACTGCTTTCATCTACTACCTTCTTTTTCTTGGGAACTCTGTTCAATGCTGGTGGGTCATTCCAACCATTCTGAGGTCCTGTAACAGAAAATGAAGGTAATTTCCTTTAGGAAAACAAACTGTACTGAACATTAAATGCCAGAGAGCTGGACTTGAGAGTCAGGAAGACTTGGGCTTCAATCCTGCCTCAGACATTTACTAGCTGCATGACCCTAAGCAAGACAATTAACTTCTCTGGGCCTCAGTTTCTTCAGCTGTAAAGGAGGGAATCAGACTTCCTGGCCAGCAACAGAGAGAAGACAGGGCTTCTCAACTTTTAATTTGTTTCTGTTTTCTCTGAATAGGGCTCTGACGCTGGAAATGACAGAGCAAAAATGACCAATGGAGACGATACTCAAGATAAAAGAAGACAGAACACGGAAAATGGGAGTGACAAGAGAAGAGCAAATATTATCCTGATTTTCCAAAAAAGAGAATAGAGTCTGCACACCACAATCCAATGAATTTGAAAACTGGGAAAATTCTAGAATGGCTCTTTCAACTAGGAGATGAACCTAATTTACCTAAATTTTAGCAATGCTTTTGGTAAAGTATGTCATATGACTTTTGTATCCTAAAAATAAAAAACTTTTATTTAAAAACATAAAAACCATTCTTAGCTCTCTAGGTTGTATGCCAGCAGGCAGTGGGCCAATTCCAGCTCTGTGTGAGTATTAGGAGAGAAGGATTAGACCTGCTCTGTTTGGTTCCAGAGGGAGGAAACAGGGGAGAAGGCGCTGAGAAGCCAACACTTGCTGGTGACGAGAGCAGGCCCACAGTGGGATGGCGTCGTACAGCAGGTGTGGGCCCCTCTCATCAGAAAGGATCACCACCTTCCCTTCAGACTCTCAGAGTCTGTATTTCTAAGGCCTCTGAGGTCTGTTTCCAGCTCTAAATGTGTGATTCTGTGCAAAACCCTGCTCCAACCTACAGGAAAACTCCCAAACATGGGGCCTGTCAACTGAACTGCACAGTCTTCTCTGACACTCAAAGGCAGCTCTCGTGACAATCTGGTCTTCAAAATTAATTCGATTTAGATAGATAGAACAGAACTGTGTCTAAAGTTGTTGATGCAAAGTGAAGTGAGAAGCAGCAGGAGGATTATTGTGCACAACAAATAAAGACAGAAAAGTTAGCACTGATTTGGGGTTTCACCAGAATTTTCCATCAAGTGCTTTACACACACTATCTTGCTCATTACCCTGTCTCTGAGCTAAGCAGGGCAATGATCATTATTCCCTTTCAGAGATGAAGAAACTGATGACAGCCAACGTTAAGTGAGAAGCCCAAGGCCCTGCAACTGTGAGAGGCAGGCCTCAGATCCAGGCCATCCAGTTCCATGTCCAGCACTCTGTCCACCACACCCCACTACCTCTTTAGAAGGAAATTACTGTCTCAAAAATCCCCTTCCGGAAACATTACCCTGAAAATAATTTTAGAACCTCTGCTAAATATAATTTAGATATTACAAAAAAAAAATCTGCAAGAAGGAGGTAGTTAGAAAGTCTACGGTTATTACATAAACTCAATCAGTTTTAGAATTTGATTCATTCAGGAAGTCCAATGCAAAACAAGATTGCTCTGATTTAGGATTTGATCAGCTTGGAAATTCACATGCATTATGGGAATGTCTGTTCATTAATTTCATTTGATGATCTAAAGATTACAAAAGATGTATTCTACATCCAATTCACCTTCCAGCAAAGACGCCTGGTCTTGAGCAGACTGATTTTCTGCAAACAAAATGTAAGTCACTCAAATAATAATATAAACTTTGAAAATCGCCCCCAAATCTCTACCTCTTATCTAGCTCTGCACCCACCTCCTCCAAACATCTAGCTTGTTTATATACTTAAGGTTGATTTTTCATTATGCAATATGAAACATCTTATAACTAACTGAGAAAATAATTTGTTTCTGGGTGAAGTGAATAAATTTAAGCCATGTCTGTCCTTGTCAACCCAAAAATGTAATTTTCTTCTACTCAGCTCAATTCTCCTAGGAAAGAATGAAATCTCATTTTATTTTGAACCTCATTCTTCTCAGCATAATACTGTTTCAAAATTATGGCTTATTTCCCATCAGACCGAGGAAGCCCAGTGCTATCTGGTAAGAGGAGGCATTCTTTCACCAATCATGTTATATCTGTTGTAGCTGCATTATTATTTTTTTAAAAGGAACTTTTGCAATAGTTAAAGCAATTCTAAAAGGTATCCTTTGGGGGCAGTTACATGGTCCTAATAAATTTTCAGTATGACACTTGCCACAGATAAAAATATTGAAATGTCAGACAGCCCAGGGCACTGCCAATTGACCCTGATGGGGAAGCTCTGGGGCTTCGGCAGTGATCCCACACAGACACGGGTATGACACAGAGTGGATAATACACGTACACTTGAGGGCCTGTCTTGGCCCCTGGCAAGCTCCAAAGTGCACCTAGGAATCCTGATTAGTGCAGGGGCCTGAGGAGTTGCTTTTTCAAGGTTAGTCTGGTATAGGTGTCCTAGAGGTTTCCTCAAAGAATTAAAAGAGACCGGAACACCTAGTCGTAGCACGGAGGCCTGAAACTAGTCAACATAAAGGTCACCTGGATTTTGAAGGTGAGTATGGGTGACAACCACCCAAAGCAAGAAACATTAAGATTCCAGGCTTGCCCCAACTCACACCTGAACTGTATGTTCTCAAGCCAAGGTAGCCAGCATGTGTCCACTCAAACACTCCCTGGTGCTTCTCAAGCCTACGCCCTACCTGGCATTGGGCCAAAGAACCACAGATCCAACATCCCAGCACCCAGCAGGATGGAGGTGGGGCTGGGAAGTGACCCACACCTGTGGTTACATCAGCAAGGGCAACTCCAGGGCAGACACTACCCCGACTGATTCAGATCATCAACCCCGTGTGCCTGGGCTCTGAGAGACCAGGGATTTACCCAGAGTCACACAACTACTATGCAATCACAAGGTGGACCTGAACCCAGGTTTCCTGACTGCAAGGATCATTCTCTCTCTACTCTCCCATGCTGTTTCTAATTAAGTCTATTACATAACATAAAATCCCTTTTTATGGAGTCTTAAAAAACCAACCTCACTCACCTGTGTACGCCTGCATACTTGTGTGTTTATCTCTCACAGACACACACACACACACACACACACACACACACACACACACACACACATATGCACACCGATACATTCTCCTAGGGGACAACAGATAATATCTCTTGACTGGGTAATAAATGTGAGTGGCACAGACCTCAACAAAGGAGGCACTGACGAGTGGTGTCACTGAAAACGGCAATGGGGAGCAAAGTGTAACTCATCTTCTTACCCATGCCCTGACCAGCATGTTGGGGGATAGGGATAGTGTCATCTGGGGGAGGGAACGAGGTCTCCGTGGGGTCAAAGAGCCAGAAAAAGCCCAAGAAGAAGAGATCTGAAATTCAGGGAAGTTTGCTGACTATGCAATGGGGAGTTCCAGAAGGCAATCTGGACCATTCCATATCCCTCAATACGCATTGTGACTTTTCACCTCTGCTTCTGCCGTTTTCTAGACGAAGGCTGCACTCATTCCATCTCCGTCTACTGACACACCACCCACCCTTCCAGGGTCAGCTCAAGGATGGCTTGCTGCGTGGCGCCTTTCCCTAGGCCTAGGCACAGTGTTTTAAACACTGCAGGAACTTAATATGGATTTGTTGAACTGAAGTGTGGGTCTATGGGCATTTAGCTTGCAGCAGCTGTACCCTGTCCAACTATAGGAACGTTTGTTGTTGTGTGGTCACGTCCAACTCTCTGTGACCCCTTGGGGTTTTCTTGGCAAGGATACTGGAGTGCAGTACTACACTGCTCATGGCGGTGCTTGTGGCCAAAGGATTTCGGGTGGTCCACAAAAATGCAAATCCCTCAGCAAAACTGACTCTGCAAAGTTCCCTTAGGGCAGGTCTGCACAATTCAGGTGGCTTGTAAAAAATGTAGAGAACGTAAAACAGGCCTGCATAACACCTGGCCTGTAGCTCTGGCAGGCCACAACTGGCCCACAGGCTATATGCTGTACAGACCATATGTTGTGCAGGTCTGCTGGCGTGGTCTGCCATTTCTTTCTCCAGCTCCTCTTACAGATGAGGAAACTAAGGCAAACAGGGTAGCCAGATGGCACAGTGAATAGAGTGCTGGGCCTGGAGTCAGGAAGATCTGAGGTCAAATTCGGCCTCAGACACTTACTGGCTGTGTGACCTGGGTAAGTCACTAAACCTTAGTTTCCTCATCTATAAAATGAGCTAGAGAAGGAAAATACAAACTGTTCCAGTATCTGCCAAGAAAACTCCAAATGGGGTCATGAAGTGTCAGATACGACTGAAAAACAACTGAACCACAACAACTCATACCCTGCCTTGAACTACTTATGTGTCTCCTCTTTTCTGCTAGAACGTATGCTTCTTGAGAGGAGGGACCGCTCTCTGCACAGCTCTGGATACAGCGTTGTGCCCTGAACAGTGGTTCAAAAAACATTTGTTGATTGCCACCTATCCAAATAACACTGGCTTTTCCAAACCCTGAAAATGGGATCTTCTGGTTCAGTCCTGCTAGAGAGTGAAAAATGCTAGTTTAGACACTGGCAAATGGCATTCTCGAGCCAGGAGCTGACAAAGACAATATTCCAGCTCTGTACAAAACCATAATCCTCACAACTGCCACAGCAGACCGGAGTCAAAGTCATGCTTCTATGGCCTATACAAAGTGCTTCAGAGCACTGTTAGCAAAACAAAGAAAGGTTAGACAGAAGTGTTCCCATGCAACGAGTAACACCGCAGCCAAGGCCTCCATGCACGCCGAGGCCCACAAAGTCGCCTTCTTTGGGTTATTTCCTTTTGGTGGTTCAGCCAAGTCAGAACAGTGTGCTGTTACCCTGAATCAGGCAGGCAGGCTGGCTCCCCTTCACACACCCCAAATGCACACATCTCAATACTTTGAAAATTAATCTGAAATGTACTTAGAATACTGTGGGGCTACTAAACAATTTTTGGAGTTCTATCAAAGTGTAAAATGCCTGTGGGCTAAATTTAGGACTAGATTAATCAGAACTCTATTTGGTAGCTATGATCCAACCCATGATACCTTTCACTCAAAAGACTTAGTTTTTACTTCACAATGAAAAATGAAGCCAAAATAATTAAATATCCTTGGTAATTTTTTCAATGCATTCCTCTCTCCTCTCCCCACAAAAACGCCTGACTATTTAATAGCATACCTTTACATACAGATTCAATTTCTGTATGCTAATTTATGTAATACATGTATATACTTTTGGTACTTAACTAATGAATACTCTTTAGAGAAGTGGGATTTTAGAAACAATTTTCCATAAAGCCTTTCAAATTATTATCACAGAAACTGGAGTAATTTGGCTCCATGTTCATTTAATCAAATTACTGCGCTAAAACATATCTTTAAAATAAATTGGAAAACTGATACATGAGGGATGTTGCTAAACAAAGAAAAACAGAAAATGATTTAAGGGAATAGCATAAATCAGTCCTCCCTTCACCTGAGGGACAGAGCAGCAGTTACCCCACGTACTGCATGACGTCAAGTTCCAAATACACACGGCACTGTCTCCGAGCACTGAGTCACTGCTGACTGGCCCCTGCTTTTTTTTTTTTTTTTTTTAAGCACAACTTACATTTGGCGGGGCTTTGGGGAGGGCGGAGAGACCAGAGGCTCTTGAGACTCCCACTGTGCAATAGGCTTTCCTCCCTACACTGCCTCGGATGGACAAGTCTTGGCATCTCTGGGCCTCAGTCTGCCCATCTATAAAGGGAGGGAGTTAGATGGTCCCATTTATCCCTTTCCTGGCCTGTTCGTCCAATCCTATGGAGACAATGCGGGATGGTTGTGGGACAGAGTGGCCCTTAGGAAGCCCTGAGTTTTAAGCTCCACCTTGCACACTGGCTATGTGACCTGGGCTAACCTCTCAGGGCCCCCATCTGTGAGCTGCAGAGAAGGCGCCAATCAGCACCAGGAGAGGGGCTTTCCTCGCCTAGGACTTCCCTAAGTCCATGAACTCTCAGGTCCATTCCTTATCCCTGCTTTTATTAAAGGTGCCCACTCACCAGTCTGTGGGCTTCATGTTTGTAAGGGCATTAAACCCTGGGAATGGAAACATCTGCTCATCTATGGCACAACTTGCTTCAGTAAGAGTTTAACTTGAATGGCCTCCCCCAACTGAGGGGGCTGACGCAGCAAAGGATATGCCCCGATAGCTCTGACGCCCTCAACGGTCATTTGTTTAACAACCAGACCAGGGGTGGGGAACCTGCGGCCTGGAGGCCACACGTGGCCCTCTAGGTCCTCAAACATCTGACTGAATCCAAACTTCACAGAACCAAACTAGAGTATCTACAGGGAAGACTCTGTTTTTAGAAACATGGAAGAATAAACCCGGAAGCCCTATAGCTAAATCCTCACATTCAACCAAAGTTTTTTAAAAATTAGAAGCCACCCCCACCCCCAGCCAACAAGACAAAACCGAGGGAGGAAGAAGGCAGGCAAACCAAGCGCAGACCTGTTCTTTGGGATGCAGGCAGCTCGCTGGTAGCAGGCAGTGTACCTGTGGATCCAGGAGGCAGGACGTAAGCGGTAGAGGACGGTGGAGCGCCTGGCCCGCCATGCTGGAAGGACGCTCCAGAAGGGGGAGGAGGGAAAGCAGACATAGAGCTGGGAGAATTTGGTGAGGCCTGGGGCTGGGCTGCATAGATCGGAGGCTGCCCAGAATGGGAAGAAGCAGAGGGCACATAAGGAGGGTTAGGGTAAGCATTTGAAGCAGGAAGGGGGGTGGGCTGCTGTGGCTGATACATCGCTGGTCCCCCTGTTCCGAATGTATACGGCTGAGCTGGTTGATAGGCTACATGAAAAAAGGAACAAAGAGATGTGTTACCTACTAGGTCTTGCAACAAACCCAACATTATTATTATAATAAAAATGAGTATTTCTCCTGGTAGTAATAGCCTTCACACTTCTTCTCCTCTCTTTCCTAAGACTGTAATATCACTATAAAATTAACATGCAGCATATGCTTAAGAAACAGATTGTCAGAGCTCCTCTTTTTAAGCCATTAGGCACACAATTTGAAAGCTGCAGGCTCCAAGTTCGCCCTGGCTATAAAAAAATCTAATTACTAAATCTGGAGAGCTACAAGAAGCTTATCTTTTCCTCTGTTTTGGGGGGAAAAAAGAGGTAGCAAAAAAGACTATAGAGCTATCTCTTGGTCTCCAGATGATACTACATAGGTAGAACACATGATAGTCTTTCCACTCAAAAGCTAGGGAAGGCTTGGCTTGCAAGACCTCTCTTTTATAAGGAGGGCCTTTGACAGGAGATCAGCATTGTGGCAGCTACAGCTGCTAAAGAGCACCCCTCCAAAATACAAGAGAATAATCATATCCTTTAGTTGAGAGCAGACACGGTTCTGGGTCCAAGGACAACTCTCTTTTGCTGACAACTGACAAAGCAATAGTTAAAACTAAATTCTGTATTATATAGCTGGCTGATTTTAAAACAAACAACAGCAACAACAAAAGCCTGACTTTTAATTAGCTTTTTATTTGCTGTTTTCAGCTTTGACTAGGGAAGTAAGTTAACTGAGAACTAGGAAACACAGTCTCAGCTCCTCTACTTACTGCATAAGCTGGGGTCTACTGCCCAACCTTTACGTGCTGAAGCACAACATGAACAGTAACACCATGCTGTGATGCTCTGAGGGTACATATGAAATACTTGGGACCACATGGAGCCCTTTGTAGAAAAGAGGCTGGACAAGTTCTAGTTTACATCCGGTGCTATTAAGGAATATTAAATAAATGACATAACCAGACAATCTCCTACCAGGGGCTTACGCAATGCCTCATTTTCAGCTGGCGTTCATTCCTTTGGGGGATTTTTAAAATCATCTTCCTTTTTGTCTTGGTTCTCTCTCCTTGATATTTTTCCTTCCAACCCCCTCCCCTAATCTCCTTTTGATCAACTTCTCTTTGCCTTTGCCGTTATTCTGGCTCTAGTGAGTACCTCTCTAAGAGAAGTCACCTCCTAAGAAACAAATGTCATCCCTTCAGTGTTTACCTTTCTCCTGGAGGAAAGGAATAGGTACTATAACCCCGGGCCTACAGGCTACCACAAGACTCATGAGTGCTGCCTGAACTAGATTAAAATGTAATTGGGAAATATTGAACAAAATAAATTCAAATACAATACAACAAATTACATTACATTTTAAAACTAAGTCCACATTAGGCCCACTTGCTGGATCCTCATGTCCAGATTGGCAGCCCCTGTTTCTATTTGAGTTTGAGAGCACTGCTAGAGAAATGTTTCTTGTATCAAAACTACAGGATTACTAGATCACTATCATGAGAGATCAGATTAGGGCTCAGGAAAAAGCTCTTCCAACAGGAACCTACCTCGGTCCCTTGGTCTTGGCGCTCTGACTTACAGGCGGCTAGTCCCTGGCATGCTGGTCGAAGCTTACTTTTTTTAAGGAAATAGGGATTCAGTGCAGCAAAGACTGAGGGAGTCTTACATGGGTCAGTCTTTTCTTCACTTGACAAGACCAAACTATAGATAACTTTGGAGCATCAGGGAAAGCTGGCACTGAGTTGGTCATGTCATGCTGGGGAGAGGGCACATCAGGTATTACTACTTACTCTGTGGCTGTGGATAAGATGGTACCTGTGCGAACATGTGGCCAGAAGGGGTGGACTGTGGAATCGCCATATTAGGATTGCCAGGTCCTGGCATAATGAAACCTGGAGGTGGAGGATTTTCTCCCTGGGAAACAAGAGAAAGGCTGGGTTTGGCATCAAGATATCATGAGCGAGAAATTGGGTTTCTTATTTGGGGCCCTGGGTTCACGTCAATAAAAATCTTCCATTAGCAAAAGCACCACTATGTTATTGCACACGCCACCTCCTGCTTTCTCACATCAGGATTCAGGAGCCAGGCATTCTGAGCAATTTCAACATGAGAATTCAAGTGACAGTTTCAGTGAAGGGCAACTAGAAGCTGAGAGTAAATGACAGCATCATAAAATGCAAGAACAGCAGCAATACTTGTCATATAGGTCAGTGACCTTCGTGAAAAGCCACGAACATTTTCCATCTCTCACTCTCTGTTCATTACTCCCAACTCAAGGAATCAATTTAAATGCCACAAAAGCAACTTTCGCTTCCCTTAAATTTTAAGAATCACTATTCAAAAGAGATCTTCAGTGATGGCTGTCAGAGGACAGACACTATTAAAACCACAGCTAACATTTTTTCAGATTCAGTCACCTGGGTGGGAGGTTGTACCCAAAACTTAAATGAGACTTTATCAGGCAGAGAAGAGGGTTAGGGAGGAAATGAAACAAATCGTATTAAAAACCAAGTTTCTAGCTCCTAAAAGCATTAAGATGCAACAAACAGGCAAACCGGGGTCAAAGAAGAGAGCCTGGGTGAATCTATCTAAGTGAGTCAAAGATCTCTCAAAGCGGAATAATGAAGCTTATACCTGTGTGTCAGAGGGAGAGGCTGCAGGTGGATGGCTGAGAAGGGCAGTAGGAGTTTTGTTACTCCAGGTAGTGACAGTAGGGGCAATTCTAACCTGAATTAAACAAAGAAATACCAATCACAGAAAATAAAAAACAAAAAACAAAAAAACCTAAAGGGCATTGAACAGCCAGATGCAAAGCTGAACTGCATGGATGAAAGCCACTGCTCAGAGCGCAGCTGGGATTCTGAAAGCAAAATGAAAAGGAAAAAAAAATCAATGGCAAAACCTAAGTCACAGCACATTGAAAACCGCCACCTGAGGATACTGGTTAAGGATATGGGAAAAGCAAGACAATGAAGGAAAGGAAGCATCTGGACAAAACAAAACTGAACAGGAATGTGAGAGAAGCATCAGAACAGTAGTCGTCATGCCACTACAATTAGGTCTGTAAACATTTTTTAAGGTCGCTTTTTTAAAAATGAAGTTAAATGAAGTAATATGGCCACTCATAACCCTCCACCACAATTAAAAGGTGAATCCAAGATTAGGGAGGAAGATGAGTGGTCCCCTAATCCAGCCCCTTCGATTTACATATGAGGAAACTGACCAGAGAATGTCAGAGATAAGACTAGAACCCCGGGTTCTCCCCAATCCCAGAAATGTACTCTCTAATACTCCACAGTCCTCTCCTTATTTTATCCAACACATGCTTAATTAAGTGATCTTAATTTTTCTTTTTAAAAATAAAAGTAGAACTACAAAACAGTACAGAAATGAAGGCAAGCAAATAATTGATGATCACTGCTCGTGAATAAACCATAACAATATAATAAAAATGACAACACTACATAAATTAATTTATTGACTTAGGGGTATATCAAATTATCAAGGGGATCTTTAAGAGACCTAACAAAAATAACAATTCATTTAGAGGAACAAAAATATAGACTTCTGAGGGAAATAATAAAAAATTACAAACAACAGGAACACAGTCCCATAATGTATAGTTTTGTCAGACCTCAAAACATTTAAGAAGTGGTATTCGTAAAGCTATGTGGTATAGATTACAAAACAGAAAAGCAAATCAGTGGAACAGAATAGGGAAGCAAGTGAAAATAGCAGCTCAGCGTTTCATAAACCCAAGAAATTACTGGGGAAAGGCCTCCCCTTCTTGCCAGGAATTGCTAGAAAAACTAGAAAGCAGTTTGGCAGAAATTAGGTTTAGATTAACATGTTGCACCACATACAAGCTCAGAATCAAAGCCCAAGAGAGATACAGAACCTAAATGTAAAAGGTCACACCAGAAAAAAAATTCAGGCTATTTCTTATTTAAGTCATATATCCATCTGGAGCTTTCTGTGGCGTGAGCTGCTGGTCTAAATCTATTTTCTGCCAGAAGGCAGTCTACTTTTTCCAGGAGGTTCTGTTGAAGAGCAAGCCCTTACCCAAGTGGCTGGGCTCTCAGAAGTTATTAACACTATTCTACTATGTTCCCTTGCTCCACTGATCAATCTTATCATTTTAACCAATATGAAAATTCTGATAATCACTGCTTTGTAGTTGTTTTCATACAGTTCCTGTGTTTATCTTGCTTGACAGACTACCAAATATTTTATACTTTTTTAGCTATTCTGAATGCAATTTCTATAAACTTTCCTACTGGGCTTTTTTTGGGGGAGGGGGGGAGCAGAGGTGAAGAAATACAAAGAAACGCTAATAATTTATTTGGATTTATTTTATGTGCTACAACTTTGATGGAATTATTCTTTGAACTGATTTTTTTATTTGACTCATCATTTGGGTACTCTCGATTGACCATCAACTCTTCTGAAAACCACAGTTCCGTTACCTCTTTTTCCTACGGTGATCCCCTCAATTTCTTTTTCTTATTATATTGTTGTATCTAGCATTTCTAGGACAATATCAAATATTATCAACCCTAACCCTTCATCTTCTTAGAAAGATCTCTATTTTATCCCCGTTACATATAATGCTTGTTCTTCGTTTAAGACAGCTTTTGCTTACACATTTTCATCAAAGTTTGGAAGAATCCCTTCTTTTACCAATTTTTCCAAATAGTTTATATCATCTTTGAATTTTCTTCGAAAGTTTGAGAGAATTTTCTCATAATTCCTATGGTCCTTCAGGAGTTCATTTATGGCTTGTTCAATTTCTTTTTCTGACACTGGGTCATTTAAATTCTCTATTTTTTCTGTTAATCTGAGTGTTTTGTATCTTTTTTTATATCTATCCAATTCATCCTCATTATCAGTTTTACTGCCATATACCTGGTTTCAAAACGGTTTCTGACAGTTTTCCTCATTTCACCTTCAATTGTTCAGAATTCTCTACATTTTTGATCCAATCTTTCTTCTCTTATTTTGATCAGAGCAGTTAACACCTGCTTAACAATCTTATCGGTGCCCCTCAACCACCACCCTCAAATGGGCCCCTAACTTTATCAGTTTGAATCCTGACTCAGTTATTTTGCTTATGTTATCTGGGCTAACTTCCTCACGTGTAAAGCCAGGGCATCCAACTTGATGGTACCTCTCAAGTCCTTCCAGCTCCAAGTTTGTGATTCCACAGTCCCGGGGTTAAACTGGTTGATTTGAGGCTCCTGACAAGTTTTCTTGGTTTCAATTTTGCTCGTCTCTTGTTTGATTTTCAGGATTTCTATTTTTGTGTTTGGCTGGAGTTTTCTGATTTGTTGGTTTCCTAGACTTAAAGTTGCATGCCCAATTTACTGACCTGTTTTTTTTTCTTTTGTTGATGAGTATGTTTAGCTAATCCCCAAAATTCTGATATATTGTCTCATTGTTGTCATTATCTTTAATAAAATGATGCTTTGTTTCAATGATTTGTTCTTTCAACCAACAATTCTTAAGGATCAAGTTATTTAACCTCTGATTAATTTTAATCCTTTCTTCAAAGGCCCTTTATAAAATATGACTTTTGTTGTACCATGGTCAGTAAAGGATATGTTTAATATTTCCTCAATTGTTTGTGAAGATTTTATGCCCTGAAAACATGGTTAATTTTTGTACAGCTGTCATGCCCAGCTGAGACATATATAAATTTCTGTTTCCATTCAGTAGCATATCCAACTTTTCTAAAATTTTATTCAGTCCTTCTTTCTTATTTATTTTTTGTTAGGTTTGTTTAAATGTAAACAAGATACCCTTGGATTCCTTATTATTATAGCTTTACTCTCTAATTCTCCCTGCAATTTGGCTAATTTTTTCTTTAAGGATTTAAATACTATGACATTCAATACATATTTATTAGGTATCAATACTAGTTTATTGTCTATGATGGCTTTGAGAATACTATAGTTTCCCCAGCTTATTTATTGTTATTGTGCCTATTTTCACAGTCACCTTATCTGAAATCAAGATCGCTGCCCCTGCTTTTTTTAGTTCACCTGAAACATAAGAGATTTTATCGCTCCCCATTTTCCTGGTTCTCAGAGAATCTTTGTATTTCGAATATGCGGTTCGTAAACAACATATTGTTGGATCTTGCTTTCTAACCCATCGTGCTTTTTGCTTCCATTTTAAGAGTGAATTCATCAAGTTCCCATTAACAGTTATGACCACTGGGATTTTCTTCTAGCCTATCTTAACTGTTCTTTTTCCTCTTTGTTCCTTGTCCCTTAGACTTCCAAAAAAGAAAAATGTGGTGGAAGAAAATGAATTTTTCAACACCAGCAATCTGTATCTTCAAGGACCTGTTTTAACTTCCGTGCTCCTCTTCTCTTCCCTCTGTCCAGCCCAAACACGGCTTTTCATTTTGGACAATGATGAGTTTGAGATGGCTACAGAATATACTGAGGGAAATGCCCAGCAAAGTTGTCTGAAAATGAAACGGTGGTCTTTATAGGAAGTTAGAGATGCTGTCATCAAAAATGACAGCCTTTTGGTAAGACTGCAGGGTGGCTGAAGTGCCACTCAACTTTCATATTACATTCACAATGAGATTTGCCTTTTTTTTTAAGGGTACACGATTCAAAAACGTGAGAAAACCAAAAATTCTCTACCAGAAAAAAAAAAACTACTAGAAAGAGAAGGATGACCACTTTGGAAGAGGTAGGATGTTATAAATGTACATTTCCACAAGGATAAGAGTAGTGACAAGTTATGACAGGTGGTACCGGAATCAGGAAGACAAGGTAAAATCTTGCCTCAGACAATTATTAGCTGCGTGAGTGAGTCTGTCTGCTGCAGTTTCCTCAACTGGGAAATGGTGATGATAACAGCACCTACCTCCCAGGGCTGTTATGAGATGAAAATGAGATAATGTGTTTAATTACTTTGCAAACCTTAAGCGCTACGTAAATGCTAGCTATTATTACTGATATCATCGCCATCACCAGAGAGTGGAGGCAGCAATTCAGTTAAAAAGATAGAGTGCTCCAGTAATCAGCTACTGCAGCTGCAAAGCGACAACTGACACATCCAGGGACTGAAATCAGAGACTCTGCCCCGTCTCCCGTGCAATCCAGAGAACCAGAGAACACCTTCTGCTTGTCACACGAGATCACAGCATCTCAGAGTGATAGGCAGCCTCCGGGCACCCAGTGTAACCCCCTTCTCAAAGTCTGATTACAGACTGGGAGCTGGCAGCGAGTGGGGCGGACGCCGTCGAGTGCAATGCCCCAGCACCTGCGGCAGGTGCTGAAGCCCCTTCCTCCCGACCCCAAGCCCACTCCACGCGCTCCACATGCCTCATCCACGGCACCTTTCCAGGGTGGTGCACTCCTCTAAAACCTTCCTGACAAAAAGTCTCTCTGACTGTTCAGAAACCTGAGATGACTTATTCAGACCAATTAAGTACAAGGATGACATAGATGTCCAAAATGTGATTAAGTTACTGGTTACACTAGCCCTCATAAAAAGTTTTTGATAATTATAAAGTTCATCAGCTTCTAGGAGGCAGCCAGCAAAAACTGTCTTGATGCTACAATTAAACTACTTACCTTATTTCCTGACTCCCACTTGGATACGAATATAACTGAACACAGTGAGTCACATTTTAAAGCACGTATCTGTAAGTACTTTACTCCATTTCTAAAGAATAACTGAACCATGAGGACCTGGAAACAGTCAGTCAGAGCCCCTCTGTTGCCTCTGCGGCCTTGATTCTGCCCTTGTCTGATCCATCCTCCACACAGACCCTGCAGGGTCCTTCCCAAGCACAGCTGTGACCGCAGCCTGCCCTCCCGTCGATAAGCTCCCTTGGCTTCCTGCTACTCTGAGAATGGAATCGCCACTCCTCTGCCTGACGTCCAAAGCTCTTCTCAGCCAGGGAGGCCCCCATCGGCCTGCCACGCCTGAGTGGGGCTGGCGCTTCTGGACGGGCCTCGGGCCTCCGTCCTGCTCCTCCCACACAAAGCCCATCGACACCCCAGAATTCTGCACCAACTCACCCACCTGACAGATCTCTTTACAACCCTTGGCCCTTAGCCTCTCTCATCTGTTTCTTTATTTCTAAAACGGGGATGATCACAATACCTACGTTACTCATCTCACCAGACTGTCTTGAGGATAAAATGAGAAAGTTCCCAGATAATAAAAGATCAGAACTGACAGGAACGATCACAGGTATCCGACCCAACCCCTTCATTTTACAGATGAGGAGACTTGAGGCTCCGACTGCACAAATGACTTGCCCATCGTCACATGACTAATCTGGAACCCAAATTTCCTGATGCCAAGTGCAGGTCCCTTTCACTAGACGTCCCTAAGCTTTATTAAGTACCTGCTCTGCACCAGGCAGCGTGCTGAGCACCAAGGACACAAAGAAGAAAAGGTGCCGCCCAAGTGTTGGCTGCTCTCTTTTCCTCCCCTTCCAAGGCCCGGCCTTAGATGACCCCCACCACCTGCGGCCCTGCTGAACAAAGCCAGAGAAGATCACCAAGCCGCACAGGGCCCACTCCAGCCCACCCTGGATGACTTCAGCAGGCCCTCGCTGCGGCACGGCGACCCTTCCGCTCACCGAAGCGGCTTTTGCTTCCCAGCACCCCCCTCCCAGCCGTGCGCGCAGCAGAAAGCCTCGCCTCCCCCGCTCCTCACCTCGCTCTACTCAGACGTCTCCCCGCTGTCTCCTTCACCCCCGGCTGACACGAAGAGGCGGCCCTCCCTCTGCCAAGGCAACAGCTCCACGGTACACCAGTGACCCTGCCGCTCCAGCCCATCGTCACAGCACATCTATCAGCCCTCGCCTCCCACTTCTCGTCAATCTCTCTCCTCCATGCTCAAAAAGCCCTCACTAGACCTGCCCCTCCCCATTACTATCCTCCTCCCTCCTTCTTCCCTCCCTCCCCATTGCAATCTGGCTCCTGACCTCATTGGTCAACCTAATTCGCTCCTTCCAAAGTTACCAACGCTCTCTCAATCGCCCAATCCGACGGCCTTTTCTCAGTCCTCATTCTTCTGGACTTCTCTGTGGCCTCTGACATCCCCTTCTCTCCAGGTCACTCCTGCCAGACAGACCCCCTGGATATTCCCTGTACACAACACTGCACTTTCTAAATGTAAAAACATCTCTGTTTGGCCTCCGAAGTCCTTCATGTTCTGGCTCTGGCTTCCATTTCGAGTCTCATCTCACAGGCCAGCCGGCAAGAATGCCTGGAGTTGGGGAGCAAGGAGACCAGTGTCATCAGGCGTGTGTGAAGGGAACGGGGTGCGAAGGGCCAGAGACACAAAAGTAGGGAATATCCAGGGCGTCTGTCTGGCAGGATGTGAAATGTATCTGTGGGAATAACTGTGCAGTTAGTCTAGAAAGGCCAGCTGAGCCCAGCCATGGAGGCTCCCCAGGCTTCTGTGACTGTCCTCCACGCTCTTATCCACAGACTTCAGCGACAACGCTCTTCCCAGGCCCTCCTTCAACCTGTTCCTTCTCAGTCCCTTTGCTGTGTTCTCTTCCTCCTTCCCTCTCCCACCCCCCACAAAGGCTCTGTCCTGGGCCCTCTGCTGTTCTATTTCTAAACTCTCTTCCTTGGTGATCTCATCAGCTCCCATGGGTGCAAAAATCATCTCTAGGAATCTCGGCCAACTGACGGTTAAGTGACTTGCCCAGGATCATACAGCTCAGCAGGGTCTGACCCTAGATCTAAACTCAGGAAGATGAGTCTTCCTGATTCCAGGCCCAGCGCTCTATCCATGGTACCCGCTAGCTGTCCTCACAGACCTGCATACTCTGCCCTAATCGGTTTCCTTGCCAGACATTTCCACCCCATAGTTACCTCAAATTCAGTATGTCCTAAATGGAACTCTTCTTTCTCCCCCCAACCCCCAACCAGACGTATCCTAGGTCTGCAATCTAAGAGGCATCCTCAAAACTTCCTTCTCTTTCAAAGCCATATCCATTCAATTACCAAGTCTCCACAACATTTCTCACATTCCTTACCCTTCTCCTCACTCAAGAAAGCTAGAATCTAATTCAGGTCTTCATCTTCTCTGACCCTGACTGCTGCAACAGCCTCCCAATTAGTCTTCCTGCCTCCAGTCTGTTATCTCTTCAATCCCGTCTCAGCTGCGATTCTCAATCTGATTTCCTATTACTCCCTTCACATACTCTGTTCACAGAATGTCCCATCTCCCACCTCCACACACAAGGGGTTCCCCCACACCTGGAATGCACTTTGGCTTCCTTCGAAGCCTAACTCAGGAGCTACCTGCTACATGAGGCCCCTCACAAGCCACATACACCAGCACTCTCTCCTTCTAAAAATTACCTTGCAGGTGCTTTGTATTTACTGATGTCTGTGGTACACAAGATCCATGAGGGAAAGGACTGTGTCACTCTGGCCTGGCTGCCCACAGACCCTTGCACACAGACACCATTTAATGAATGTTTTGCTAAAATGAATTAAATCTATGATCTCAGATATGGGCACTCCCTTCAAAAGCGCGGACTATGATCCATCTGGGCCGTGACATCCTGAGTAGCTCCTGTCTATGTCCTTCCACGTACCATCCACAAGACGGTCTGCGGATCTTCTCTAGGGCCTGTGTCATCACATGGATACTGCCAGGACACGCAGGCCATCCCTTCTTGCTAAGTGGCCAGCCCACCTTTGTGAGTAGGCTTCTCTTGGATGACACCACCAGTTATACCACTGCCCCGTCTGTCTGCAGATGACGTACTGCATTCTACTCCCACCCACCAGGAGCCCCTCTGTTTTCCTTTGGCTGCTACACAACTTTACCTCTTCAGGCCGATTCATAGCATATGATATTGGTGGCCTTTGTGCCAAGGGAGAGCTTTAAGCCACGCACAAATTCTCCAAGGTAAGAAGGACCATTTCTTCATTCCGTTAAATGCTCAACTCACAGTCTGTGTGTCTGCAGGCCAGCTGCAAGTTCAGCTGACTGTCACAGTCTACTCTAAACAACAGGCACTCTTACTTTGCTTGGCTTTTTCCATGTGGACAGGAAAGTCAAACTCTTTTGAATGATTACAGATCTCATTTATCTGATGCTGTCCTGATGCCTACAAGCACACATGCCCAGGTATGCCCTATCCTAAAAAACAAAAAAACCTTCTCAAGACCGTGAAGTGCCCTTCCCTATCATCCTATCTCTTCTCCCTTTCACAGCCACACGTCTGTAAAAAGCCACCCACATGTGTCTCCATTTCCTAACCACCTACTCACGAGTAGTCTTCACCCTTTGAAATCTGGCTTCTAATCCTACCATTTGACTGAAACTGCCGTCTCCAAAGTTATCAAAGATCAGCCTCGGTCTTCTGATACGGTGGCCTTCTTCGATACTCATCCTTTTTTTCCACTACTGTGATGCTCTCCTCACCTTCCCCATGCCTGGGAGAAGCTCTCTTACTAATCGTTTAGAAGGCTCAGCTCCCTGCACAGCTCAGCTTATGTGCCACAGCCTTCAGGAAGCATGCCATGACTTCCGTAGTTATTAATATTTTCTTTGTCTTCATATCGTCTTGTACTTATTCGTCTGTTTACATGCTGTATCCCTCAAGAGATGATTTTAGCTCCTTGAGGGAAAGGACCATGATTTTTAGCACAACAAAGATTGAGAACACTTAACAAAGCACTACTCAAATTAGCCACCATGTTGCTCTGTTAATTGACTGTCGACCTGTACTCTGTAACCTAACTTGACTGAAAATAAAATGTACAACTTTATGTGCTTAATAATTTAGAGCAGAGGTTCTTAACCTTTTCGATGTCATGGACCCCTTTGGCAGTCTGATGAAATTTATGGACTCCTTTTCAGAATGAGTTTTTTTTTTAAATTCATAATTGGTAAAAATGAAAAATTTCAGAGATTAATGAAAATTCCCCCTGATATTAATCCGAACATCAAATCCCAGGTTAAGAATCCCTGACTTAGATGAAAATTAAGAAGGGAAAAATGAGGAAAGATCATAGAAGGAATTTAAATTTTACCGTATACCTAAGAATATATCATTTGACTAAATTGGGGCATTTTTTTTCAGAACAAATACCACAAACACCATTTATAAGACTTGACAAGCAATTTACAAAAATGTCCAACAGGACTGTTGTGCGCCTCAATTAAAGAAGGTCACCTTCCTCCACTGAGGCTAAATGATAAACACCTACAGAATTCTCCAAGCTGAAGAGAAGTCAGGAATAGGGGGCCCTTCCGAGGGCCTGCGGTTACTTACATGAGGATAGTACTGCTGGGTTGGAGCCCGTGGCCCCGGCGTCTGGCCCGCAGCAGGCCCAGGTCCTCCCTTGCCCACGTGTTGCCTGTCATAGAGAGCCCGAGAGGCTGCTCCCTGCTCAGACCCAGGCTCGCCTTGTGCCCTGCGCAACCTGTCACGGAGCTGCACAATATTTGGCTATAAAGAAACAAGGAAATAAAACAAGAGTGATTGGTCCATGACCTCCCCACCCATGTGGCTGACCACTCTGGCCCTAACGACACAGTGTGTTTGGAGTCTGGGGATGAGCCAAGGGAAGACATGTCACCACCTGCTTTCAGGTTCAAGATAAGCTAGTCTTCAAAAGAGAAAGGAAGAAAAAAAGACTATGAAGAGGTAGTAACTAAGGCTCCCAGTCTAAGGCTACAGAAACCTCACAGAATGCTTCTGAACAATTCCAAGTGTCTTTCCTCAGAAAAATAATGGCAGGGCTTGTAAGAAATAAAAGCTTTAGAGTAAAGGCTTCTGATTCTAATCCACATGATTCCTTCTCCCGCGCTGACCAGCGGGGCATCCTCACCCTCCTCCACTGAGGTCTCCTTCCTCTGCCTCCTGGGCCCTCAGACCCTGGGAGAGGCTTCCCGTTTGGGCTTGCCCTGTGACCCTGCCATTCTCATATCTGTGCCTTGGCCTAGATGCCCTCTCCCTTCCCTTCCCCACCACAGCCCGTCAACCCCCCTCCTCCAGGACACACCTCCCAGCCCAGCCTCTACAAAGTCATCCCGCCAGTCTGCCCCTCCCTGATGCCTGTCCCTGCAAGGACATAGACACGACCTTGTTCTTTCCCTCTTCAGAGCGGGAGCTCCCTGAGACGTGAGAACGTTCCACTTTCTGTACGTGTCTCCACAACTCCTGGCCCAGATCTGGCCCCGACTGCAGCTGGCGCTTCATCAACGCTTGCTGACTGATATTCTACCCCAGTGGCACAGCCACAGGAGGCACAGACACAAGCCAGGACACGGGGTCAGCAAGATTTGTCCTCACATAGAAGAAGGGAGCTCCTTTTCTCCAGAACTCATTCCCAACTAGCAGTTTAAATCCAAGACTGGGTCCCCTTTGTAAGAATTAATCATTCATAGAAAGGAAAGGTAGGAAAGACAGTCGGATCCACTTGCCTGGCTGGTGTTGGCAGGGAGGAAAGCCAGCGCTGCAGCAATGCTGCCCTGGGCTGCCAACAAACTGGCATACTGACTCATCTTCTCGGCCAAAAGGGCCCCGATGGCATTAGCATCTGATGCCTGCGTGAGCTGGACGGCCTTGCGGAGGATGACAACCTTCTCAATCAGATCCTAAAGGGAAGAGGAGAATGAGACAAAGCACAGGAAAGGATTAACACCCTTACCAAAAATGCATTCCAAAGCTGCAGGGCTCGCATCACCCTCTAGCACAGACTACTCAACAGGATGAAGGCCCGGCTGGCCACGCCTTCTGCCTCTGCCTCACCTACACTTGGCCTGGGAAGATGTCAGTGCCCACCAGTGGGGCACCAAAGGGAGCACTCAAGGCTGAAGAAGAAAGCGTGCCCCAAAGGGATCAATTCTTCCAAGGGCGGCCAAAGCGAAACGCCCTCTGAGCTGCACTGGTGGGGTACGCTAGGCTAACTTCCACCTTTCTGTGTGGCCACTCAAGACAGAAGGAGGAATGTCTCGGCTGAAAACACATCTGGCCATCTAAAACTGAACCACGACTGTTTTCTTCCGCATAAGCTGACACAAAACTCCTAATAAATGCTTGTGTTTCAACAGATGAGTCTCTTAAATGACTCCACCTAGAAATAAAATCCCACAAAGAAAAAAAGTTCAAACTAAAATATTACAGGGAAGGACTTTACTCATCAAGAGCTTGTGAAAAAATTCCTTTAAAAAGGGAAAGAAAGCCCTTTCATAAAAATACCACGAGCGCAGGCATCGGCACCTCCCATTAAACAGACACTAACCTGAAGTGACAAGGGGCTGTTTCCATCTTGGGCTTTGGTCCAACACGCGACCAATTTCTCTATGTTCCCAGCACATATATAACACAGACACGCCTGCGTCTGCAGGAGGGGATCCCCTTCATTCTCAAGCCTGGCGCCCAACAGGTCTAAGGAGGAGAAAAGGCAAATGATCCACAGGGAGTCCAACTGTAAGAACATCTCTGCAAGTCAAAGGGAGACACAGCCCAGCACAGCACACAGGGTCCTGGACTCAGAGTCAGGAAGAGCCCGGTCAACGAACCATCCCAGACACTCAGTAACTGGGTCAAGATGAGTGTTGCTTAACCCTCAGCCTCAGTTTCCTCATCCATAAAATGGGGCTAATAATATCACCTATCTCACAGGGCTGTTGTGAACATCAAATGAGGTAACACATGTCAAGTGCTATATAAATGTTAGCTATCATTATTATTATTGTTGGTGTGGTTGTTGAAGATGAATCTTCCGATCAGCTGTGAATGCCCCGGCCATTCGCAGCAACACAAGGATCCAAGACAATTCTGAAGGACTTGGGATGTAAAATCCTGTCCACCTCCAGAGAAGGAATGATGGCGTCTGAGTGCAGATCGAAGTATACCTTTTCTACTTTGTTTTTCTCGGGGGTTTTCTTTGGGGGTGTGTGTGTGTTTTGTTTTTTTTTGTAACATGGCTAATGTGGTAATGTTCTGCATGACTTCATATGTATAATCTATATCAACGTCCTTGCCTTCTCAAGGAGTGGGGAGGGGGGAGAGAGAACTTGGAATTCAAAATTTTAAAAAACAAATCTTAAAAATGGTTTCTACGCTTAATTGAAAAAATAAACTTTAAAAAAATTTTAAAAGATGAATCTTCATAACTCATGAATAGCAGCAAAAACAACCCCCCAAGATAAACGATAAACTGAGTGTAAGAAAAAAGTTCAGAAGACAGTTGGCTGTGGCCATTATTAATTTCCTTTAAATATGGATTTCTCCTCTACCAGCACATTTTTACCCACAGCCTCAACATTCCTTCGCCATTTACTCAGCGCCTGCTACGTACAGCCCAGACGAGAAAGTGGAGCAGCTGCGAGTAGACACTGCCCCTGCTCTTGAGGCACTCCCATTCTGGAAGGGAGCTCCGCCAACAAGAAGGAACCCAGCACAAAAAAGAGTGCGGCAATAACAGACGGCACGTCCGTGGCGCTTCACCGAGCTTTCACGGACAGGAGCTCACTTAGTCATCCAAACCTATGAGGCTGGGAGGAGAGGCGTTGTGCCGATGAGGAGATGAGGCTCAGAGGGGTTCCTCCACGTCCCTGTGACCCCACAGCTACACACTAAGTGGTGCAGCCTGAATTCACCCGATCTCTTCTCACTGTTTCCACACCACTGCACTCCCTACGTGTGCAATGCCGAAATGGATTGTTCTCCGTACACAAATGAAAGGTGGGCTAGGCAAGTCACGGGAGGGAGCGCCCACTCTGACCTGGGGGACCCCAAGGGAGGTTTAATATAGAAAGCTATTTGAACTGGGCCTCAAAGAAGGGGTAGGATTTTTATACATAAAGGTTAGGTTAGGTTAGGTTAGGGTTAGGGTTAGGGATAGGGTTCGGACATAAGGAATAGCACGAGTACAGAGTCACAGAAGCCGCAAAGCAGAAAACAGAAGCAAGCTGCTCAGTCTGGCGAGAGCATGCCATACATAAGGGGAATCAAAGTCAGAAAGCCAATCAATTGCAGAGAGAGGAAGGATGGACCACTCTCCCCCAAACCAAATCGATCCCCAGTAGAGGAACTGAGCTTTAGGAAACCAACTGCACAAGGAGAGGATGAGGATGGTTGCAGCTACACAAAAACTCATGTGGAAAAAGACCTGGGGGTTTCCCTGGACTGCAAGCTCAATGTGAATTAATAGTGTGCATAGCTGAAGGCCACGCCACAGCAGGACACAGGGGCTGCAGCATGGAGGCAGAGCTTCCTAACAACGAGAGCTGTACAGCCCTGAGCAGCCCTTCGTTGGTCAGCTAGCGCCCCTCACCCCAGGAGATCCTCGAGCAGGTAGGCCTGTGGCAAGGCAGAGGGGCTGGACCAGGTGGCCTGGGAGATGGCCTGCTGGAACTACAAGTCTGGGAAAAGGCTGTGTGTGGAAGCCAGAGGTGCGGTCACTCCCACTCACCAGCACTCTTAAGCATTTACTCTAAGTATGCAAAGCACGGCAGGAGGGGCTGTGGGTGGTCAGAAAGCAGAGGCTTCTCACACAGAAGCCTGCTGGTGCTGAAGAGAAGGGGAGAGGAGGACGGGAGGAGGACGGCTACAGGGACTGAAGGGGGAAAGAAGATGGGCATATTCAGAGGCCAGGATAGCTGGAGATGGAAAGTATATGGGAGAAGGGATGACAGGTAGAATTAAGACTCAGGAGATGCCTCAGAGGACTCGTTGTTGGCCCTGGCAGAGAGGACAGCTATCTCTTCTGCTAAGACCTCACCAAAGGAAGAGAAGATGTCTGAGGACTGGGAGGAGGACAGAGAAAACCAGAGGAGCAGAAGAGGAAACTTATGATGATGTATTACAATATATTATATGTATAATAACAATCACATGATGCACATATCAAAACATATAATATAGAGTAACAAAGACACTTAATAAGGCTCGGGAAATGATCATTTTCTTACCACAAAGAGCTGAAAATTCATCTGGCCTAGCGTAAGTCAAGACAGCAGCTAAAGCTTCTCTCCAGTTCTTAAGGTCGCAGGACTGAACAATCTCTTTCCAATTTTTCATCACCACTGCTGTGATCAGCTTGGAAAGAGAGAGTAAAGAGAAAAGTAAATGCCTCCTAAGTGCCCATATCCTCAAGAATTAATGCTTCGGAACAACATGCTATCAATCAATTAATCAGTCAGGTGTTTATTAGGTGCCCCCCACCTGGCAGGTCCTGCACCAGGCACTGGGGAGACAAATCAAAAGGAGACAGGCCCTCCCCACCAGCAGCACACACAAAAACACACACCACATAAATACAAAGTTCATAAAGACAAATCCATGCCAAGAGGTCCAATACAAGACAGCTCTTGTATTGGGAGGATCGGAGGGAGGATCTCCCGGGTAGGAGATCGCAAAGGCTTCAGTGACAAGACGATATCTGAGTGGCATTGAAGAGGTGGACCGGGGGAGGGTACACACTCCAGGCAGGAGGTACTGCCAGTGCAAAAGCATGGAGGGAGGGGATGAAGTGTCATGTGGGAGGAAGAAAAAAGGCCAGTGCAGCTGGACCTCAGGGTGCAGGAGAGGGCTGTGCACGCTTCATGTGGATTAATGCCGCACGATCAAGTTCCAAAACAAAACATGACAGCAGCAAGAACATGGAACAAATAAGCTGAAGTTGATGATCAGGATGTTATATTTTACTCCCCTTACAGGAAGCCAGAATAAGAAGAGAAAGAAAACAAGCTCCTATTGAACAATGGGAAGGACAGAAGACAAGTGGAGGGCGGCCTAGGTGCGATGGAATTCTGGCAGGCCCTGCAGCACTGCAGTGCAGGATGTTTTTTTCCTCAAAGAATAAGTACTTAAAACTTCAGTAAAATAATTCTGAGATCTCATTTGTTACTTTTTTCACTATTTCAACTTCCCAACTGACCTTGCATTAGCAATAATAAATACGTATTTCAAGTCATTTGGAAGTCCCTGAATGCAGAAGCCAAAACACAGTCAACCAACCAACAGTAACTAATCGTAGGTAGTTTACTCGTCGCTTCAGAGCGTGATTCATTCTCTAGGATGGGTAACTCCTGACTCTCCCGGAGCTGCCGAAGCAGACAAAAGCCCTTCCCTGGTGGCCAGCCCAGATGCTGAGCCTCTCTGGCGTGGCTGGGCTCATCCCTCACCCCATTCGTGTTGTCCCTATGTCCCCAGGGCCTAGCTGGGCACGGAGTAGGCGCGTGTTTGTTCAATTGGATTTCCAGAATGGAGGGTTAGGCCGATTTTTCGAGTGTTGTGCGCTCAGCATGACACCACAAGCAAAGAAGCTTTGCTACCGACAGGGAATTCTAATCAACTTGTATTCTGAAATGGACGTCATCCCTGATGGTGGCCAAGATCTTTTTTGACTATTCATTTCTCTTTTTTTAGGCTCTGTCTGATATTAATGATTACAGGATCAAAGAAAAAGATAATTTCTCTTGGTCTAGTATGGAAAACACCCTGATGGAAGAAAGCCTTGAGGAGAGCAGTTTGCTTTACCAAATCAAATGTTTTTATAAAATCAACAAATAGTCACCATGTGGTATTGAGCTCTCTACAGCTATCAGTCATTTGTCTTATGCAATAAAAAAACCTCCCTGTCCCCTGCTAATACCTCATATCAAGGGCTAACAGAGGTGTAAATTATTTACATAAAAATGTCCATCAATGCAAGAGGAGACATGTAGGTCCACTACAAAATCTTGGCCTCCCCGGTCATCAACCTCCTAGACACACATAGGGACAGACACGCCCTTGAGGCTAGCATCACACCTCCACAATCTGAAATTCCTCTGATTGGTGGAAGATTATGGCGACTGGTAAAGATTTGGTGATGGAAGACTATGACTGGTGGAAGATTTACAACTAAGGATCACAGATCCAGAGTTCAAAGGTACCTAAGGGGCCATTTAGTCTGACCCCCTCACCAGCGAGCTGAGGAAAGCAAGGCCTGGAGAAGCCCCGGCTGCACAGTTAATAAGTGGCAGGACGAGGATCTGAACTCAGGGCCTCCAACTCCCACACTGCCTCCCGCAGGAAAGAACACAAAAAGCAGCCAACTGTGATCACATCCAATAAAAGACCTTGCGCACAAATAAAAGCAGCCTAAGTAGAATCAGAAGATGCAAAACTGAGGGGGAAAAACTTTGCATTAAATATCTCTGACAGAAGTCTGTCATTCAAATGAAAAAGGGAACGGATACAAAAGTGTACCAGTAAGAGGACTCCTCTATTAAACTAAAGGAAAGGAATGGCTTTTAAAAGGCTACAAATGATCAAAATCACTTTTAAAAATTGTTTAAAAACACTAATAATCAGAGAAATCCAATTTAAGACACCTCACATCCCTCAAGGTAGCAACGATGGTAAGAGAAAGGAAAGTTCATTGCTGAAGGGTAATCTAGAGGACAAGCATGCTTATTCAGTCTCTGGAACTGTGGATTGTGCCCCGAGCTGAGGGGCAGCTAGGTGGCGCAGTAGATAGAGCACCGGCCCTGGATTCAGGAGGACCCGAGTTCAAATCTGGCCTCAGACCAAACACTTGACACTTACTAGCTGTGTGACCCTGGGCAAGTACTTAACCCCATTGCCTAGCCAAAAATAAATAAATAAATAAATAGATAGATAGATAGATAGATAGATAGATAGATAGATAGATAGATAGATAGATAGAAAAACGCGTTGGGGCAGCTAGGTGGCGCAGTGGATACAGCACCGACCCTGAAGTCAGGAGGGCCTCAGTTCAAATCCGGCCTCACACCAAACACTTGACACTTACTAGCTGTGTGACTATGGGCACGTCACTTAACCCCAATTGCCCGAAAAAAAAAAATCTGAATACACAAGTCATACCCACTGACCCAGAGCATTCACTACTAACAGAATGTCTAACAGGGCTACTAATGGCAAGAAAAGGACAACATGTACAAAAATGTAGTCATTTTCCAGTCATGTCCAACTCTTTGTGACCTCTTTTGGGGTCTTTTTGGCAAAGATACTGGAGTGGTTTGCCATTTCCTTCTCCAGCTCATTTTACATATGAGGAAACTGAGGCAAACAGGGTAAGCGACTTGCCCAGGGTCACAAAGATAGTAAGTGTCTGAGGCCACATTTAAACTCAAGATGAGTCTTCTGACCCCATGCCGGGCACTCTATTCACTGTGCCACCTAGCTGCCTTCCATGTAATGGAATATTACTGCTCCATCAGAAATAAGGAATATGATTAATTCAGAGAAATGTAGGAAAACTTCTACTAAATGATGCGAAATCAAGAAAGCGAAGTCAAAAGAATCCGCCCAGTGAGGAGAACTCAATAGATAAGAACAACACTGAAAAGAACAGATCAAGGACAGGAATGGAAAAGGTTGACTGGGGAAAAATTGTTATCAAATATTTGATAAGGTTTGATATTTAAGATATAACCACCAAAAAACTATAGAAGGCCAAAAGCCATTCCCCAGTAGATAAGTGGTCAAAAGGTATGAACCAACAGCTCTCAAAAAAAGAAGGGCAAATTATTAACAACCTGAAAGAATGCTCCAATTATTTATCACAAAATCAAAACAATTCTGGGATTCCATCTCACAGTAAACTGGAAAAGATGAGACTAGTCAACTTAGAGGAATTATGAGAAACAGACATATATTGTTGGTGGAACTGGTACAACCATTCTGGAAAGTAATTTAGAATTATGCAAATAAAATGACTAAAATGTCTACACTCTTTGACACAAAGATTCCACCCTTAGAGAATTAATCCAAGGAAGTCAGTGACAAAAAGAAAGGAAGGCTCCACAAACACAACAATTGTGCTCTTCATTGTGTCATGAACAACCAGAAAAAATGTACATACCGATGGGGGAACGGCTAACAAGCTGTGGCGCATTAGCATAATGCAATGTTACACCCAACAATATCTCTACTAGGCCTGTAACCCAAAGGTACTGAAGAAAGAAGAAAGGACTCAAACAAAAATATTTATAGCAGCTCTTTAGGTGGTGAAAAAGAACTGGAAATGAAAGGAGTGCCCATCAAGAGAGGAATGGCTGAACATATTAAGGCACGTGAATGTAACAGAATTCCATCGTGCAGTAGGGACTCCACGGGGAGGAAAGGGAACAGGACCAGGACAACTATTGAGGCAATAACAATAACACCGTGGAGACAAACAACTCTTAGAGACTTCAGAACTCGGACAGGGGCCATGACCCGCCACGACTGCAGAAGACTGAGGATGATCCGTGTTACCCACCTCCTGACAGAGAGGTGACGGAGCCAAGACGAAGAACAAAATAAATATTTCTGGATACAGACAACTGTAAGAGTTTGTCTTGTTTGACTATGCATATTTGTTACAAAGGTTTTGTTTGTCAAAATGATTATTAATTAAAAATGAAAATAAAATGCAAAAGAATTTTACTGTGCTGTAAGAAATCACTAACATGATGAATACAGAAAAACTTCAGAAGAGTTACTTGAATTGAAGGAAAATCAAAGTTAAGCAGAGCCAAGAAAAGAATATACACAATGACTATACCAATATAAAAAGAAAGATAAAGCACCACAAAACAGAGGTGGGGGTCCAAGGGTTTGGTTTTTTTGATATGTTGGTCCATTTTACTGATTTTTTTTTTCTCTTCTTACCCTTTTTGGAAAATGTTTTGATACAAGAGATGGCTCTCAGAGGGAAAAGATGTAGGTGGAAATGCAGGCAATTTAAAAACAAAAAATATCAATAAAGATCTGTTTTTCAGATGAAATAAAATCCTCTTCAGAGAGACCACAGTCTATCAAAAGGTGAAACTGATGACAAGTCAAATAATGAAAACAACTGCTAAAAAGCTCATGTACATAGATGAATAAAATTCGCTGTGCTTAAAAAAATACTTTCTATAAAAGTTAGTTCTGGACAATACACAAAATAGCACCATTTTAAGGAGCTTATCCTAATAAGACATATGACTGGGGTGGGGCGAGGGGGGGGGATCTTTTTAAAGCAATACTTTAAAAGTTTAAATGAGTTTTCTTGTGTTATTTGTATGCACATGTGTGTTGAGCGTACACACACATGTTGGAGGGGGGCAGGGTGGAGAAAATGACCCTTAAAAAAAGGAGGAAGTCACTTCACATTAGGCTTGTTCAGCATGGACATTATTTTGGACAAATTTCATTATGATGCATTCCAGGCTATTTTAAGAAATCGGATTTAGCTACAATGAATAAACTGTTAAAACTGCATTCTCCAATCTACAGGAGGACCTTAGTGCTGAAACACCACTGACGAGGCTCGTCTCCTGTCAAGTGACCTGTTCTGACCTCAATGGGGGAGCTTCATCAAACTACCCACGCTCCCTGAACTTCCCAGTGTGGCATTCTGTTCTGGTGTGTACTTTGGGGATTAAGGTAGATTATAAATTGCAGGTGACAGGCATATTTGAGACAGCTACTGATGATGCAAGCGAAGGGGAACGGGGACCATAAAAGACTCAGCTCCCTTCCTTCAGCTCTGCCCTTCTCACCTACACCCATAATGACACTACAGCGTGGGACTGAGAGCTGGACAAGAAAGTGATATTTCTCACAGAGTTGTGATCAAATCATCTAAGTGATGCTTCAAATGGAACTGTTCTTTATAACAGCATTTATCATTATTTTACACAAACATTTACACCACTGAAATTACTTGGGCTGAAAACAACAGTTTAATTGTCTATTGGGAGATTTTTTTCCTCCTCTCATAGTTAGTACTAAGGAAGGCAAAATAATGTAAAAAAAAATTAGTAATCCTGCAACATGTTAATATTCTGGTATTACTCTTCAAGTGAAAAAGAGAATTCAAAAGATTTGAAGGGAATAATCACAACATACACTTTTGATTAGGACACTTATACTAGAAAGACAGTGAGAGATTTTATTTCATCTTTTATCCAGTTAAAAATACATACCCTGGTAATTTTGCTTTGAGTTTTTGCGAAGTATTTTTTCTGGGTTCGAGCCAAGAGCTCTTGTCCACCTGCTATGGCCAATATAATGGCATCTGCCATGCGGTTATCATGTAAACAAAGGTCAACTGCACTTTCAAAATTACCAGTCAGCAAAGCCTGCGTAATTAAGCCATCAATATCTGCAACAGGGAAATAAAACCACTAAATTAAATTAGGTTTAGCATTAAACAAGCTAATCTTTGTTTTGATGACAACATGGGAAACGACATTATGATATGGCTTGTTCATTCTCTCTCTCATAAACACACACACACATACACACAATACGAAACATTTATCTATATTTCTGGAGTTTCTTTGACTCCTGAAAACATTTTAGTAAGTTTTGTGAAAAATAAAATATTTTCCTGGTCTGGCCATATTTAAACAGCTTTATAAGGATTTACCTGGGACTCTAGCCACACGTCAACAGTTTGTGGAACAATCACAACACATCAACTAACAATGGACATTCTTCCTTCTCTCCCTCAGGCCAACTATAACAATTCTCAGGTTAGGAAATAATAGTATTTTCACTGGAAAAAGCAAAATGTTTAAATTCTACCTGAAAATAAAACACATTTGCATTTACCTCCGCTGACAGAAATGTTAAATGTTCCTCCAGCTGACGGAGAAACGTCACTCTCTCGATTTTCCTCTTCGGTGCTCTTAAAGACAGAGGGGAAAGGGCACAGTTTAGTGGAAAAAACTATGACCGCAGAAATTACAGGTAACACAAAAAACACACGGCTGTGCACACAACAGCCCAATGCACAGCAGGCTCTCCCCAGGAACACGCCACTTAGCGGCAGTGCAGGGAGAAAGGCGATCTGGGGCACGGGGCCGCCAACACCACTTCCAACCTTGGACAAATCGTGAGTGAGCCTGCTTCCTCAACAGTAAAGTGAAGGCATTAGTACCTCGCCTGCAGACCTGACTGTGCGTGTATAGCAAAGATCCAATGATCTAACGTCCTTGAGAACAGCGAAAAGTATCCACTTCTATCGTTCCCTGTCATTGCCATTCTCTGCTCAAGAAGCTTCCGTTTCTGGCCTCCCTTTGCCTTTACGCAAAAATACAAAGATTTTAGGATAAAATACAAAGTCCTTTGTCTGGCATTTAAAACCTTTCTCCACAATGGTGTCAAATAGGAGAGGGACACTGTGGGAAATGTAGGAAAATCAACAAACATTTATTTTTAAAAGAGTCAATGAAAGTTATAAATTCTCTTGTTAGCAAGAAAAGGAGACCTTAATAAATTCAATCTGTACAAGGGGACAAAGTAATGAGCTATGAAATGAAGTAGGGAAAAGGGAAAAATAAAACTAAAAGCAGACACACCATCACTGCCCCTTCCCCTCGACGTTCCTGGCATTTAGCAGCCCAGCATTGCCACGTGACCGCAGGACAACCACCACAAAGCTCGGTGCGCACTGGACTAGATACCCTCTGTAGGCCCTCCAGGCATGAAGTGCCAAGGAGGAGAAAAGATGGCAGAGCCTTTATGAGGCACGTCGTTGCTGCGCCCCTTCTCTGCCACGTGACCTCGGGACGTCCCTTACCTCCTGCAGGCCTCCATCTGTTCATCCACAAAACGAGGGAGGGCTGGACTGGACGATCCCTAAGATTCCTTATGATTCTACAGCTATGATCTCATGAACCTCACAGTTAAGGCGAATGGAGCATTGTGGAATAAAATCTCCTGCTTTTCATTTCAATATTT